ATAGATATAAGATTAACATTTGTAAATCTAAATAATAATAAAAAATGTATGATAAAATTTAATTTACTTATTTATGTTATTTTCCATTATTTCCGCATTAAAATTAACGCACTAAATTCCTTGAATTTAAATTTTGATGAGATTGAGATTTTGTATACAGTAAACTATCGAAATCACGTAGATATTGATCACACAATGAGACTGTGCATCTGCAACTATCGAGATTCCCAGATTCGCCTCTTGGAAACCTGTGCAAAGGAACAAGAACGATCGGATTACGTTTTGTTCACGAAGAAGGGGGGAGACCTCGGTTCTTCGCGATGTACGACGGTTTCGAAAGGACTTCGCGGCCCCGCGAAGTCGGAAAAGCCCATTTCGATGGTCCCTTGTGCCATCAGGCAATCCCATTTGAGATTAGACGCAGGCGTGAATTGTGTTACTGCGGAGTTTGAGCGGATCAAAGGCAAATTCCCGGTTGGGATGCATACGTACGTAATTGATATGCCTGATGGGGGTTTCCAAGTCGGATAGTCAATTACCATAATCTCGTTGCAGAGTGAGAGCGAACAGTAGGGACCGAGTGCGAGAAAGTGAGAGAGGCAGAGAGATAAAGAGACAGATAGAAGAATGAAAGAGAGAGAGAGAGAGAAAGAGAGAACGAAGGATGGAGGGACCGTTATAGCGAGGCCGTGTCGATTCTATGTGCATCGCGATTGTATACACTGGGGATGACGGCAATTCGATTTCGCTCGAAACGAAAGAAGAATCCATATATGCTCTGGTCCCGGGCGCTTATTAGATTCCGCTGATAACATAGTGTATCCAGCATGTGGCATATCTCGCCTGCAACGCGTTTCTCTTTCAATTAGCCGCCAGGTACTCGCGGCGTTAATCTTGCTCGGTGATTGCGTGCCACGCAACCGGCATGGCTACTCGCCAAGTGAAGAGGCTTCATCACATCCGGTGGATTTTCCGTACCACGGCTGAAGAAATGTTTCACGGCCATGACGATCGTGAATGAAGCGATCCACGCGCTCGAGGGACGAAATTGCTCGGCCCTCGGCAAAGTGAATTATCGATTACTTGAACGGAACATGTGGGCTCGTAAAAGTGATGCTGTGGTTGCAATGTATTCTGATATTATAACGCGGAATTCGTAAGCCGTATGACAAACATATAGGTAGTATTCACTTTTTTAAAAATTTATCTCTAGAATAATTTTCGTATTCTGAAATAACTTTCACGACACATTTTGATTAATGCTGTCGCGTTACATCAGTTACAAAATCGTGCTGGAGTATGTGATAATTCTGTTCGCCGATAAAACAAATCAGATTACTAACTTTGATTTCAACAAAAACGTTAGAAATAATGATTATATTTAACCGTAAAAAAAGGTAACGAGTGTCTGGTTATTTTATGATCGAGTGCACTATATTTATATAGCGTACTTCCTATACTATAACTCTCCAAACATGCGTTCGTTTCCGCCGTTCTATAAATAATCGTTGTCACCGATAGCCAACGTTGATTTACGACTAAATTGCCCAGTATTTTCTACGTGGCCATTCTTTATGATCGTAGGAAAAAAGACAGAAAATCACGAATCCCGCTGCGTTTCTATCGGGGGATCAAAAAATCATCTAAGCCTTTCAATAATAATAATAATATGTATATGTACAAATAATATTAATTAAAATAATTTGTAGCTATCTTATTTAACAAATTACAGATATTTGCAAATTATGTAACATTAATAAATAAAAATTTTTTAAGAACTTAATTTTAAGAATTAAACAAAACTAAAATAGAAAAGAATTAATTTTTTATTTATTCAACAGAATGTTGCTTTAAAAACTAATTAATTTTATTATCTTATCATGTTTTTTTTGCCAAATAATGGCTTAATTAATGCTTAAATGCGACTTCCTATATTTTATCGATCGTATAGGTTCCGTTATCGTTAATTTTCATTATTTTTTGTCATTCCTTAAACAGTGTCAAATCAATGTTAATTCAACATCCGTTAAAATCCGAAGAAAAATCCAATAACCGGTTATTAATAGTTTAAAAATATGGATAGAGGGGGGAGGGTTCCATTCACTAATTTTTCAGTCTAGTCTTCATATTACGCTAATTGACACACGTAATTCCGGCAAAAGTGGTTGGTTGATAGACGACACGTTTAAAAAAAGAAAAATGTGTTCCATTTCGCTGTGGCCCTACCGTCCATTTTCGCTCGCGCGATACTTTCTTCCATTGATGCATGCAGCTCGATTAGTCGCGTTAAATACGAGCGGCCATTTATCAAGTAGCAAAAAGGGGAAGAGATGCATAATAGAGACGTTACCTTCCGTGCCATATGCTGTCCGTGTACAATAAGCGCGCGCGCGCGAGCGCAGTTAAATGGTTACGGCGTGCAATATGCCGAGAAACGCGACGAATAGTCGGGAAAACGGCTCGCGCGATAGACGCAGTTTATATTTACAATGGTACAATGCGCTTCTGCGCCCACGA